GAATTTGAATGAGAAGTAGCATAACTGGGAAAATAGGAATACAAAAAAAAAACAAAGGAAATGACAGAAAAGTTTGGAATATTAAAGCATCCGCTACTTATAGAAACCATCAAGTGTGTAGGAACAATGATGAATTGATGTTTACATTAAAATCAATACAAAGCCGGATTAAAACGTTATACGTTGTAGAAAAGATTGAAAAAGCACTTGCGTTTTGGACTTTGGTCCTTTTTGACAAGAAGAGAGAAAGTGAGATAGATAAGTGTTGTTTTTTTTTTAGTTTTTGTCTTTTGTATAGAGCTAAGTAAAAGAAGTTATAGCTAATAAATCAAAAACAACGTTGGCAAGGAAACATCGTGATAATGTTTTTGATAGCAGTTCTATTTATCTTTTTTAACTATGTCTATTTGATTATTTTTTATTAAGGCCGCATGACAGGGTTACATGGATCAAAACTGTTGATTATTTTGGAAATCAGACCTTTATCCCTCGTTGCTATACACGTCCCACGTGCATCTGAGAACCAATGCAATCGACAAATGATTGAAAGTTGCTTTCTGATTGGTTTAAAATGATAGATTGGCGAATTCACGCACGTGAGAAAATCGTGTAAAGGTTCTCGAATGCACGCGTTTACACTTACGATTTTTACAGCACGATAATCGCCACTTTGCTATCGCGCAACTAAAATAGTACGTGTAAACAGCCCTGCGATTGTTTCGGCGATGGAAAATCGCCGCGAAGTTGCAGCCAATTTTCAAGCTGGTTTGAAACGATGGTCGCGCGACGACGGGTCTTAAAGGCCCGTTTACACTTGCGATTTTTCGCGCGACAATCTCCTTAGTTTCGAACATGCTTGAAATTTAGCTGCAACTTGTGGCGATTTTCGATTGTCGTGACAATAGCAGGGCTGTTTACACGTACGATTTGAGGTTCGAGAGAACAAATTGGCCATTGTCGCGCGACAATCGCGCTGCAAAAATTGCAAGTGTAAACAGTCAGAATAATATATATCTTACTAAAGCTCTGTAAAATTAATTGAATGCGAAATTTGAAAAAAATATTTGTGTGAGCTCGAGTGTATGGAAATATAAATTGATCTTTCGTTGAWTGAAGAAGGCGAGAACTATGACAATTAACTTAATGTAGTGTGTGTGAGCTGAAGAGAAGTCTGCATGTTATAATATAAGAGTTTAATTTATGATCTCATGTCAGACAATATTGMCGTAACAAATTCAAGTGATAATCGTTAAACATATTACGTGAGTTTTGTTCAACAGCTCTCAAATATTGAGACAGTTTCAACAGTTTGCTGGCTATTAATAAGTCTACAAAGTCACCTTCGAAACAGCAGCTGTTGATACGTGAAGTGTGACATATATCTTAGTAAATAGTTTGTCAAGACATATTAGCTGTATCGAAAGGGCATTTTTTATTCTTGGAAGATTTCAAAAGCATTGTTTTTGATTTGTAAGCCAGTTCTGTAAGTATTGTCACCCAGCAACAACAATAAAGACAACAACAATATCAACAGCAACAACAACAACAGCAACAGCAACAACAACAACGACAACAAACAATAACACAGCAACAACAATAACGGCAACAATGACATCAACAACAACCGCAACAACAACAGCAGCAACATCAATAACAGCAACAATATCAACAGCACTGAAAACAGCATGCAACAGAAACAACAGCAGCAACAACGCTACAATAGCGACATCAAAAACAACAACGGTGACAATATCAACAGCAAAAACAGCATGCAACAGCAACAACAGCAGAAACAACGCCACAATAGCATCATCAAAAACAARAACAATCGACAATGGCGACGAAGATGGCAACAACAACGATAATGTAGCCAGAAGCAACCAGCACCACCAGCAACAAAAACAACCAATGAAAACAAAGTGGAATATTGAACTAATAAATTAATAGGTCGAAATTTAAAAAAGCATGTGTACGTGGGCAAAAACAATTCCGGGCAAAAGACCATCATTTGTAAAGTTAGGCGATATTTTCACAGCAAGCCTACATACATAAACATTCAAAACAATTTGTTTTTTACAAAAATGGAGTTAACTCAGTTCAGTGGGTGTTAATATACATTTCCACCGACTGGGAGTCCTCCATTTTTATAAAGATAAAATAAAAACAACTTTTTAAAACGTGCATGCATGACGATGACATTATTCAACATGGCCGCCAAGGTAATTCTAGTTCGAAGCTGAATTAAGAGTGATTCGCACTCCTCAAAAAGCGAAACAATTTTGCATTTACACAATGCCAACAAGTGGTTTAGTGCAATTACTGTTTGTCGCTACAGTTTATTGCGTAATTTTGTTGAGTTTTTTTCAAGAGTCTTTCATCATTGGGTGTTAAACTAAGTTATTGGAAAATGTAGTGTACTTAAGTGYCCCCATGGAACGAATCTGAATGTACTTTAAGACTAGGTTTTTTTTTATCGAAAACAGCATATCCTATATTGTTAGATAAAAGTAAATTTGTATAATGAGGGGGGTCGCATCATGAGATATATAGTTCTTCTAGAAATAACGAAACAAAGTCTTTCATCACGAATTAGTAATGTAATAATAAAAAAGTAATGTTTGAAAAGCTGGATCCTTCAGAAACTATTCACAGCAAATTATTATTTGAGGATATTTCGGCTAAAAGTTAAATAAACAAATCACATTTAGGTAGAATTTGCGAAACTTGCAAGCGAAGATTGTTGCACCTTCTACACTATAGGTAGTTTTCATTGAATTTCACCATAATACCATCGTGAATTACGTACTACGCACATTAAATAAGCGGTAAGAGCAATAAAGATATTTTGAATTAAAAAGGGAAAAAGTGGTTGATTAATTTCTTAGACGTTTGGTCTTTTAGCAGTCGCTCTGTTCTGAACTAGAGTAGATAAAAAAAACATATTACATACCCTGTTCTACTTTAAGTTCTCAGTACATTTTTGAACCCTTGCTATTTGAATATTGAATTCAATGTTATCAATCTATCGATCTTAAAAATAGGTGATGTATTATTATTGATTTAATCCATTTATTTTATGAAATAGACAGATAAAGTACAGTCTGTGAGTTTATTTTGTGTGTGTGTGAATACAGCCATATGTATTTCAAAAACGTTTTTCACAGCGATATGAGCAAATACGCCCAGTAAAGTCAATTTTGGTATGGACAATTCATAGCAATATTCACAATGAGAGGCGTCAATATTGTATTTTTCATCAAATGAATATTTTCTATGGCTCTTTGTTTAGTTTGTAGTGTTTTCCATAAGATATGTGAGAATTTTCCATCAAATTTGAATACTCACATTTACTTTCGTTGGTGCAATCGCCCTTTACACTCTGACAACTTTTTTTGAACTATATTCATCGCACAAAATTGTATACATAGAACTAGACAATAGCATGCAGATCGACAAAGCATTTCGAATMACTTCTGTAAGACACGTTGATTGCTTAAAGCCTTGGCGCACAAAATTGTTGCTGTTCAAGTTCAAGTCTTGTGCTGTTTTTACTGCGCAAAAAGTTGTCTGACTTGCAAGTACTTTGGCAGCGTGTAAAACGAGAAACTTGGACTCCAAACTTAAACACGGAGCAACAACATTGCGAGACAAGTAGAGGTTTTTGTATCTCTCGTCATAGTTACTAACCTAAACCAGCACTTGTTTCTTAATGTCCACACCTAGCTCAGGTTTGGCGCCACGAAGCAGAGCTAAATGAACACAGCTTTACATATTTTGGCGACTTTTCATTTTTCAAGCTGAGTGAGTGAAAAAGAAATAGCGAAGCGTTTGCACTTTGAATCTAAAACCATCAACACGGAATAAACACGGAATCGGAAGCTCTACACACTAACAATTCATTAGTACATGAATAATCACAGTCGGTTTTATTTTRGTGGCAAAAGTTTTGCGCAAATACGGAAAGACTTCTTTAAATAGCATATTACTCAATCTCGGGGTTTCTATCTTCCTAGCTTGGAACATGCCATGCGCGAGCTATTATATACTGAGTTTAAGATTCGCGTGCAACTAGTTGGCGCCATTGCAGTTTGTCACGAAAAGTACTTCAAGGACTCTCAAACGTAGCGAATAAAATCCTTCTTTTCTTGAGTTGTCATTGGTGTCGGAAATAAATAAGCAAGCRGCAATTCAAATGAGCAATTATCGAACGTGCGTGACAGCTTTTAAGTTAAAATTGATGGTCGCTTGATCGCTAAGCACGAACGGGCCCTTGAGCCTTCGCATMTGATAAATCATCGGTTATCATACAGAAGTTGCTTTCCGTCGAGAGTCCTTCAAATTTCAAGCTTTGTAGTACCCCGAGAAAGCGATTCAAGAGCTCTTGAAAACTCTCGTATGATCTAAAGTTGATAAGAACTCCTTCAGAAAAGGAAACGAATGMTTTTTTTGAACGACTTCAATCATTTACAAATGAGGAACGAGCCATAACATCGATTTGCATGGAAATTAAAATCGTAATATATTTTGTAAAATTTGATTTAATCGATTAAGACTATTTTCAGTTCCGACTACAATCACTGGACAAARWSWAAAAATCTCGCTTCGCATCCTGACAAGCTCTATTATTTTCACTAAAATATCATACTCTCGGAAGTCAAATTTAAATAGCATGTGTTGAATTTATTCTATTATAGATTTTATTCACCATAATCCAAAGTTYAAAAAACTCCACTACTTTGCTGCACAAACCTTCTATTCATGTAAAATACGTCGTGAAATATTGTGTCTATTGACTATTTATATAGAGGCAAGCGTTGATATGGAGAGCGAGGTCAAAATAAACCTCTGAATCGAATATGAATACAGCTGAAACTTACTTGGTTTCCAAAAAAAAAACAAATTCAAGAATGTATGTCAGGCTCAATTACTAACAATGCCCAAAAGTCAAATAAACTAAGATAAGAGTTTAAGAAAAAAATATTAAAASTAAATAAAAAACTCAAATATATTTTCCGACTATGTTTACATTGCTTGCGAAACATGTTTAATATTTTCTTAAGATGTTTTGAAATGCCCGTTACATCATTTCTAAAGCTGAAGAAACAAYCTCTGATCTAAAGTCAAAAATATTGCGTTGTTTTCTTCCGTATTTCCGTGTTAAACATAATAACCTGAAGAGGGTCCATTGTTGAACATGGCGTGTTGAAAATTCACTTCACAAGCGCGCAAAGGAGCCGGAATGATATATCATTTTGTGTGGATCCCTTTCGCTGCTTTTGTCATTCAAATTTTGAATTGGGAAACAAAAACACTCTTTTCAAAACTTTAACTTGCGCAAATGTTTAAATTTTGCTTAAGTAATACTCTATTTGATTTGTGCGCTTTCAAAAATTCAACTTGAAATATTATGCTACCTTTCTGTATTACATAAAATCTTCACAATTTGACTAAAATATTCTATGATAGTTCTTAAAAAGAAGGATATATTTATATCCTTTGACGTCTATGRGGTGGTCCTTCTGTGCTCTTTTAAGAAAAAGCCCTGACAATAGAGAAAACCGCGCTCTTAAGGACTGTGCTAGCTAGGCCTTCTTCTTCTAAAATGACAACAGCTTGTGGTAAGAGGATGCCCTACACAAAGGTTTGCAATGGGCGGTCTTGAAATTTTGTGTATATTTATATCGAATCTACGCATTATTTTTCCAGTCTCTTTTGTGATCTGGATTCGCTTGACTCTGCACGCGAACAGATTATTTTGTCGGAAAAAGGAGCCAGGTTTTCAGACTGATGTTTTCAGAGCWGGTATACGAAAGCCAGTTTAGTGGATTAGTGTGGAAAAGTCAAGCSCGAGTCAAAAACTGTCTATAAGTTATAGAAATAAAAATCTTCATTTGTAAGTCGGGAAAATTTTAATTGAATTTGAACATTGTTTCACTTTGGGCTAATCATGAAATGAAAAGAAATTATTTCACAATAAAACATTGCGCTTTTCGCATTAMCTCAATTTTATACCAATTAGTTTATTCATTATAAGACTTTTGATTTGAATGGATTATTCTTAAACTAAAGAGAAAATCCACCGTTAGCCCATGAATCAAAAACTATTTAGTAAAAACGAATTTATTTAGTAACGGATTCAAGATAGAAAAGTGAAATGGTATCGGCGAAGAATTTCGCTTTTATGCGCTTGCAATAGAGTCAATCAGTATTGTTGGCAAAAGTTTATGCATTCACAGATGTTGGCCTCGTCTACACCTATATGTGTTTCGTAACTTTTTTGTATTGTTTTGCAATCCTATTAAAATGGAAAGCAAAGTCCTGAAAATCACTASAAAAACGCCACAAGTAAGGACTACATGCTTCAAGGTTTGCGCTGAAGAATAGCTCATCAAAAATTGATCTAGCAAAATTACAAAATATTATCAATGAAATCTTAGTTAAAGGAACTTTTTCGTGCATAAAGAACTATGTGTTTGCATGAATCCAGTGTACTTACCTAAGCGAGAATTCGTTTCATCGAAGAAATAACATTCCCGCTTTTACAAGACTTGRATCATTAGAATATACGTACAAGTTTGTCTGTGAAGCTTATGAGGGTTGACAACAGTTTATGTCATATTAAAAAAACGCGTTGCTAACCCCATAGCGCATGCTCGGTTTGCTTGGTTAACGTAACATCTTGAGGCTAATTTCTAAGTACACTTTAGTAAGACCAAACTCTGCATCACAAATTAGCATAAGCGAAAAAGAAATAGCTTTGAAGGGAATTAGAAAAAAAGAAAGTTGTTATTTGTGTTTGTTTAGTATTCTATTATATTTAATTAGATCATGCTCTTGTGTTATTGCTATGAGATCTATGATTGTGACTATGTCTTAAGGGCTGGTTCACCCTACATTATCATAATCACACAAAGCACGCAATCACTATTTTTGAGAGATAGGGAAAGTGAAAAAAAGTTGGAAGAAGACAAAAAGAAGATGGGTTTGTTTTGTTTTTTGTGTTTGTTTGCTTTTTTGTTGTTGTTTGTTTGTGTTTTTTTTTTTTGTTCTTTTGTTTATATTTAGCTTGTGTTTTGTGTTTGGCCTTATTGCTTATCGCTATGTTTATGTCTATGACTTATATTACACGCATAGCTTTATTCCTGGTCTTTCTACTGTTCTGTCTTACGTTTATGCTTACGTCGTAGTAAAAATCCATGTACAAATGACCAAAATCAACTTCCTTGGAAACGACATCAAGTGTTTTTTTTATTAGTCAAACTACTAATTGTCACGTTGTCGGAAATTACTAGTAACRACGTTAAGAAACAATTAATAAATATGCCGTGTGATTTAGATTTATGAGGTTTGGTATGATTTATGTTACGATTGTGTAAGAACTGAAATGAGCCCATGAGTTCTCATTCAGGGCTACAGAAACATGGGAGCAGCGCCGTAGCTACGATCATGCAAGCGAAGCACTTGCCTAGGTAAAATTTTATCGAGTTTTCGTTAACTCGTATCCAAAATAAACAAGTTTGATCAATGGTGTAAGATAAAAAAGTCACAGTATGCTTGGCAAAATGCTGTAAATCACGTTTCCGAGTGTCTGAATTTCAAAATGTTTCGGGTGAGGCATGCCCGCGAACCGCCTTAGATACGACAGCTTCCGCCGGCCGCGTATAGTGCCTCGGTAAGGGAATTACACATATTATCTAGTTCCATTAATTTTGATCTGCCCAGACTAGCTCCACTTATATGCAGGTTAAAAATGTATACGGTATTTTTTGTTTGTAAATAAAGAACTTATAAACCTTAACTTATAAAGAACTTATAAACCTTTCTTTATAAATATAAAACCGCAGTTTTTCCTATAAAATACGAAAACTTTTTTATTAAAGACTACACGAGTGATTTATGTAGGAAGAGTTTATTGTTTATATTGGATGTTGCTATTAATCTAAGAAAAAACATCGGAAACTGAAAATCCAAATTCTACAATATTTTTATTGTAAATAATCTCCCTAAATAAGAGCTGTTTGGACGCACTGCACTTGCTGGATAAAAGGTAACTGGAAATGAAAAGAACTGAGATAGAGAAGGGAAGTTGAACGCCTTTGCGCGCATGTGAAAATAAAACGGAACGCAGATCAAAAAGTTATGAAATCCTTCCTTCAGAGAATCTCCATTTTTCTCAGTCTCCTTTGCTTCGCTTTTGGAAACCATAAATGGCAAACTATTTGTCTTTATTTTCTTTCACGAATATAATATGTATTTCTTGTTCTTTACTTGTAAGCAGTGATCCCACTGAAGCAGTTATACAAGAAAATGTATTTTCAGAAACCGACTCAACAAAAGTGTGCACCACAAGCCAAGTTGCTCAAAACAGCTATACTTACTATAAGAGATTCCAAAGCAGTTACAACAACAAAAATGTACTCTTGACAGATGTGTGAATGCTGCGACCTTGGTGAATAGCCACAAGCCAAGTGCGCAAAACGGAACTACACCTTTTGCAAGTTGTCAACAAAAAAGTGTTATTTATTTTCCCAATCAAAACAAGAGGAATCAGTCACGAAGTTGCCAAAGAAGACCGTTTAATATTTGCTTGAGATGGAATCATCATCAAAACTTCATCGTTATCACAGTTTCACTATGTTWTTATCGTTATTTCGCGCCTTAGAATTCTCTAACTTCCAGTCCCATCTGTTCAAACTATCTGTCTATTAGTTCTATCTGTTCGAAAGGCATTGTTTACTTTTAGAGTTCATCTATTTTAAGCTGTTCAGTAATTGAATAATAAATT